AAGATAATGAAATTACGATGCTGAAAGTACGACGCGTTTGTCGAAATAATGAAATAAACGTTCATAATAAAGACTGAAGAAATCGGAGATTACGAGAGAATAGTAGCAATCTGAGCAATCGGTATTTTAAATATTGTAATAAGCCTAATAATAATTCTCAATTAATGTATTTACAGCAGAATTATACATCTTGAATAACGAAAAATGGACGTGTCTTATATTATTTTCGTGTTAATATTAATTAAAATAATTCTTGCGATAATTAAATTGAAAATCGAGATATTTCCTAAAGACAAAATTACAAATCATCAAAAAATTGTATACTGAAAAAAGAATCTATAGGTATATTAGTAAACTACCAAATGTTAAGTGAAATGACTTCAATTAAATGATCGTTGTGGTTAATATAATGAAAAATAATTTTACTTTTCTGTATAAGTATTATAAAACGTAATATTATAATTAACCATTTTGTAATAATATTACATTTATTACGTTAACTAATCATTTGATTGACATTATTTCACTCATCTGAAACTACTACTAGACTCCTTTTTCAGTATGACAACTAATTCAATAAAAAAATGTCAATTCTATTATTAGTTAATATTGATTAGTATTTAGCAGCGCCATGTTCCCATTTCTAATAAAGGAGTAATTATTTATACGATTGAAGAGGTAAACGCGGACACATTCATTGTGGCTCACTTCCATTCCGGAATTAATGTTGCGTCAAATGTAGACAGTACAGTATTCTAACGTATAGAGGGAAGAGGGTCAGGAAGACGATTATAAAAGAGGCGCCAGGTCATGGCACGTGAAGGCGATGTCACGCGCGTCTTTCTTACTCGTGCGTCTCTTCATTACGATGCAGCTCGCGCTGCTTTGCCTTTCCGTCGGTCCTGTGGCGACACAGTTTCGCGGTCGCGGTACTCTGTCGGGGCCGTCACGTGCACCGGTGAACGTATCCGCGAGGACAGCACGCTCGATGGAGGGCAACGGGGTGTTCCGATAACACCTATACCACGCGAATCGATTTTCTATGCATTGAGAGGCAGGGCGCTGATTACAATAAGAATAGAAGCAGTCTTTTGGTAGAAACCACTTTGTTCTGAGATTATCTTCTCACTCTCTTTCCAGAAATCTTGGAAATTACATTCGATAATTATATTGTTAAAATTATGTAAGTGATCACGCGCGATATAATTTCATAAACTGACTTAGACAGTATTTTTAATTATTTGATCAATTTGTGGCTCGACGATACCCCACTTAACTTGATAATGTAAAAATTGTATTTTTTTTTTTACTGAACTAGTATTTCATTTTATGTAAATACATGAAATAATATAAAAAAATTTGAATCTCCGAGGAAATGTAATTTGAATAATCAACCATTTCTCGCTTCATGCACAGTTACGCATGCTGTGTATGCAGCATCAAAGTTTATCGCTAAAAGTACGCTTATTTTCACGTTTAATTCGTCAATGTTGCCAGAGATGGTTATGTGCAAAAATATACATGTCGGCGACGTCGCCGTGTCTAGGGTAATAATTATATCTTCTATCATAATGACTTCGACTACGATGATTTTCCGTCACTTTTATCCCTATAAATATGTGTCGAACCGGAAAAATTCGGAAATTCTATTTAAAGGAAAGGCCAAGTGTGAAGGTATAGAAACGTTAAACGAGCACGATTCAATGTGCACCATAACTCGAGTATTATACATCTGCAATCTTTAAATTAATATATTGATGCTAATTATTTAATATTGTACTCTTCCTTTATTAACACAGTTGTAATTAGTTACACACGTTGAGTCATTAAATTTGTAGACCAGAATATTCTGTAACGCGGATATTGCTATCAACTCAATTGCGATATAGATACGATCTTATATGCACGTTAATTTCGCATATAGTCGCCTCGTCGATCAATCCATCGCGATCCGACGATGAGGCTTGATTGCTTGGTTAGTGGCGCGACAAATATGGAATACGGATCGCAATTTCTCGCCGAACCCTGGGGGTAAATACCGCGAAATCAGTGGATAATCATACTGTATCGCTTTTCCACAATCTTCCACTTCATTGATATTTTGATATGCAGTTATTTTGAAACATATACGTATACAATAACGATCGAATATTGAACCAATAAAAATTACCCGTGACCTTACCTTTTCATTCTGATTCAACGAAACAATAACGTACAATTTTTCCTAATTTCCTGCGAAAGAAATAACTTTTTTTTATAGATATAATATCTCAATCTCAAACCAAATATCAAAAAAGTTTCCCTTTTTTCTTTATTTATATACCATTACAGTATATAAAATTAGTAGAACAAAGTGAGCAGAATCAATTTTAATGAGCAACAAACAAAAATGTTAGTTAAAATCGATTCTGCTCACTTTGTTCCGTTAACTTATATAAGACGTCAGAATATAAATATTATTTTTTACAATCAATTATTTACAAGTTTTTAAGATATTTATTAACTTCGCGATTAAAATGAACGCGATCAATATAATTTAAGATTAATTTTATTTAATTTCAGTTCGCGATTACGTTTCGTAAGTCCGACAAATCTTATCGGCGCGCAGTTTAAAAAACTGAAATAATACACTGTTAAAAAAAAAATGTTAATTTTAATCTAGAGATGTATAGTGGACTTTCCGTATAACATGAAAAAATGTGAAAATTAATATTTTATTTTTAACAGTGTTGTTTAAATTTGTATTTAGTATTACATTAAGCACTAAGATCCGCTTTGACCAAAAATAAGATTATATTTTTATTAATTGATAAATAAATTGAGTTGTTTATCGGCGCGAATATCGAATACGGGCCGCGCAATCTCGTGTATTAAATTCATAAATTCGTTCATACTGTCAGGGTCAAGGTCGCGCATCAGATGCAGACGATACGCGGCATTGACTCCAATATTACGTAACGGAGGATGCTTCGGCATGTGTCGTTGCTTTTCAATGAGGTCAATACACTCGTCGTTGCATTACGCGCGCTATGAGTTCCATTATACCCTCTCTATCATCCTAAGTATCTACACTCGATGTATTTACGCGCGCACGTGGATACGTCTGCGCGCATTGTTTGCAAGATAAAAACACACAGGACAAAAATCAATAACTATTGAATAGTTGCTGTTACATATGTTGATTATTTCTTGCGTAGATGCAATCAATACGTACAATCAACGTTTTGATTGTAAATATAAACGATTATGTCAAATCTCGTCCGGATGGATATGTGCAGTAGTCGCATTCCGAGATGCACTATTTCCTAACAGGATATTTTAACTCTAGTACCAAAAAAAGAGCTCGCCACGCGTCACCGTCCTCTGCGCCTGCGCGAGCGGAACTATTATCAATTTTCTTTCTGGATAAATTGAAGATTTTTTTCTATTTGTACATCAATATTATGTCTTAAAACAATCAAAACTACTACTCTAGGAAACATAGTAAGTCATATAAACAACCGTGTAATAAGAAAGATAAATTCAATAATAAATTATGACTTTTGATCAAGACAAATCGAGAGGGTAATCACTTCATCACAATCGTATATTGAAGAAAATTATTTATCAAATAAAATCGTACGAAATCAAATGAAATCATGTAATCTATGAGAAAATATTTCAAGTAGTGGTTATCCCTTCGAGACAAATCGATTCTTCTTGTTATTATATATTATCGGTGAAATTTGTGCTTTGCGTAACTATAATATTTAAAAAAAAGATGTTTCAGACTTAACATTACGAATCCGTAGGTTCGAAAAATAAAAAAATGCTGACACATAAATATTATTACTACGTTACGGAAATTATCTTTTATTTTATTGTTAAAAAAAAAAGGCTTCCTGACGAAGCGCGCGCAGAATTGCAACATTTTTGTGTACATTCAATTTTAGTCTGTTTGTATTTCTCATCACGTTCTCGGACAAGGTCTCGCTAGCCGATTATGCGAGGAACTTAATGGGCCACGATCTCGCGAGATGATCGTAAACATAAAACGCAGAAATGGCGCACGGCTGGGACGAAGATAAAAATCTGACTGCGGTTTGCCTTTCGTTCGCTACGCGAATTCTCCGCTGTGAAAAACAGCAATTCTCTCACCGGATAGGAAAAGCAATCCATAAATTCCGATGTGCGACGTGCTTTAGATCCGAGTGGCATTTTACTGCGCGTCGACAGCACACGTGTATACACACGCAACATAAAAATACAGAGAATCAATTTCATACGCGAAATCAACGGAAAAAAGTACAATATCTTTGAGCATACGCAATGATATCCTATGTCTTTTATTATCAAACGACAAGAAATAACTGATCTTTTCGTAATTCCCTTATTTACATTATGTAAACGACGTATGGTTTCTTGTATTCCATGCACAAAAGTACACGTATATATATTTCTTCGTGCATGCATAGAGATGGTATAGTATACAGAACATAGGATTCGATAGTACAATACATTATTTATACATAGAATTCATACACGATGACCAACATTGTTTCACGTGCGATTAAACTTGGAAATACGATGCATAATTATCGTGAGGATTACAGCGAGAGGATTTTGCAGTTTGTATTACAAAACATATTTAAAGCAAGTCGCAACATCTTGCGACTGCAGACACGTGCAATACGCACAAATAATTGCAAAATTCATAACTTAAAAGTGTGATAAAATTAAATTTATAAAAAAAATACGAGACTCAAGTAGAGAGAGAGAGAGAGAGATATTCTTCCTTTTCAACCATAAACATTACACTAAATATTTTTACAACTCAGGGTAAAAATATTACCTAGAGAAAGAATACCCTCTTATTATATAATATTTTTAATACAGTTTTATATAATTGTATATACATATATTTCTAAATATATATGATTTAATTTTGAGGGATATCATTTAAAAATAATGTGATCTTTTCTTATTTTATTGTTTCTTTTACTTTACGATTTTTGTAACAGAAACCCGACATGGTGGAAGAGGCGATCCGGTTTGGAACGCGGATTAACGGTGATAGCGGTTTCCGGGTTCCTCTTGTGCACCGCTTTGGCGGTCGCCCTCGGAATTTTGGCGGCCAACACAACATGCAATACCAAGTCCGGTAAGAGCACTCACTTTTATGGTAACCTATAGTGCAACACGAGCCGTTCACCACGCATGTTGCAAGTATGCAGTATTGTCTGAGAAGCACAGAAGCGAGACCAGCATTTTTCTATTCTTAAGAGATTTATGTTGAAATCAAAAAGACCTCACTTGCATATTGCTTTTTATGAATTGCCTAGATCTTCTTTATTTCAAAACTGAATCATCACAATATTGAATGTTACTTTTGTTATACGCTTTTATCTGAAAATGATGTACAGTAAAATATATACAGAATGATTCAGCTGGAAAAAACCTGAAACGAGAGATATACTTAAATATTTCTCTTGAATTTCAAAACGGAAATCTACCACTTATACAATCCTGTTCAGATCTATTTATATAATTCTGAATATCTTTAATACTTAAACTTTTAAACTTTTAATATAAATTAAATAATGTAATTTCGTTTTATTTTTCTTATAATTCGTTTTGCAAAATAAAACTGTAATTTTAACGCAAAAGCAAAGAAGATCTAAGCGTCTTATGTGTTTCGTATTTATTTGTAAAAGGCTGTAACATTTCTGCATGCAGTCTGATTTATCTTAATAGAATCTTTCCAGATTTTATTTTTAAGTATTCGATTTTTTCTATTGCGTAAAATATTAATGGCACTTCTTCTTTTTACTTTAATGAAGTTTTTGTAACATTAAAGTTTTTAAAGAGAATATCTCATGTTCCACATATACAATCTAAATTTGTAAACCTCAAACCTACACCTGCAACAGCTAAGTATCATACACGGACATCTTAAAACGTACGTTAGTCTCCTCTTGCAACAAAGATATTACTTAACATCATCCAATTGCATTAATGCCTGAAGCGAAATTGCTAGTGACGACAGTGACAAACAAATCATAATTTCTCGCAATATGGCAGCAACAGACTTCTGTAATAGTTTACGCGATACGCAATTTGCAAAAATCTAGATTTAATCCCTGAAATAACTGCTTTTGACTCCTGACGTAATAAATATAAAAACTTTGTTCCTCTTATATCAGTAATAAAGTGTTAAAATTATTTTTTGGCTCGTAGCCCTTCTTATTTTGTATTTATTTAATTTATTAGTTGAGCCACATTCTATATCAAGTTTTTGTAAAACTTTGTGTTATTAAAAGATTCGTAATAAGTTTCCGTAAATACAGCTCGAGTTGTAGGTACCAATATATTGAAAACAAATTCCAACAAAATTATGAATTTTAATAGACGTTAAATGTAGAAGACATCACAGCACTTGGAAAAAGTGTTATATCGTCAATTTATCACAATATCATTGACATTTCTCGTTAGTTCTAGTAGAATTTTATGCTCTATAAACATTTTTATGCTCTACAATCATATTTAAACAGAGTTCCGGCTGTTACTTTTTCAATTTTATTATAATTCTTTTTCTTATATTATAATTCTTTTTTATTTTCAAGAAATTGTCAAACTATGAAAAATTTTACTCAAACTGTCATTATTTTTTTGCATAGAATGTCATGCTAACTTCACAAATGCACGTTTTTCTATTATAAAATTTAGATTATAAAATTAGCACGCCGTTTTATTAATATAAAAAAATAATGAGTTCCGAAGTAGTATATTTTATAATCCTACAGTTCCTTAGTAAAATAAAAAAGTCCCTCCTACTTTTTTATACCAAAAATTTTAAACTAAAAATGGCATGTTAACTTCGCGAATCTAGCATAATACTTCTCCTCTAAAAAGAAAAAAAATATATTTTTACTTTTGGCTGCAATTCGTAGGTTGATAAATTTCTGACACTTATTATAAGAATCTACAAACAATAATATCTAATTACACTGAAACAGCTAGATAGAGTTTTCTTTATTAGATACGTCTCATTGTTGATAAAAGGTGAATTATTCATTTACAAATTAAATGCTATTTGAAGGAAGAATGTTTGGAATGCGTAATAAAAGAGAGTTGCTAATAAAAAAGTTAAATTTATTTTGCTTCCAGAAAGATGTTAATGGAAATTTTAATGGTACTTAAATTATACGCGTTTAATTGCCGTTAGAAGGATCATCGTGATTATTTTATCTCACGAATTCACATGTCGTTTTTCTTTGACATCTCGAGAGAAAGATCCAAAGATGTTTTTTAATGCAACAAACGATGAATATATTTACGATCGAAGCCGTTCAGTAACGGTACGTACCCGTACCGTAAAAATTTTAACTGTGCGAAAGTAAGACGCGTAATTGCAACGTGGTCATCGTAAATTTTATTTCTACGTCGGCGCCTCATATAAAAATGCTCCACCCGCTTATTAAACGCGAGAAAGAGAATTACGAAAATACTTCCGCCTTGGATGACAAGAGGACTCTATCATTTGATCAATAACGTATACTTGATACAACAATGTGTCTTAAATTAATTAAATTCACGAAGAAGTAACACTTTAAAAAAGTAATGGCACACACCAAAACCTAAGACAGTAAAACGTAAGATACACTAAACACTTGGCCAATCACAGTAAAGATCGCAAAACCAGCGAATCTAAAAAATGTTACGATTTTCTTATTACTTACGTCTTACTGTCTTACGTTTTTGTACGCGTCATAGGCTTCACAGCGAAATTCATGACGTACAAATTGAAGTGACGTCAACGAAAGGGTAATTCTGACGCATTTTGATATTTCTAGTGAGCAAATATTGTTGTGAGAATTATTCACTCGCTACGTGTGTTTGCACTAGTAACACACCCGTTAAACGCGTAATCACGTCAGTTTACAACGCGCACACCCCCCATGATCTAATATTTTGATTATGCATCGATTTAGCATCGAGCTTGCGATAGCGTTCATTCCTGACGCATTCAAGATATTTTCGAAGTATTTTTAAAAAATTGACGGAGAGAATACGAAACGAATCAGCGCTCGGTTGCCTTTGGTAGATGTTGCCTTTTCTTATGCGAACACGTGCAGTGATTATATACGCAATCCGACAAGGAATAATAATAGGTGAAACATCACGCGACCTTTTACGTAAATACGAATGAATTGAGAGGAAGAAAGAGAGAGAATCGCAATTACAAATCTTGTTTCAATCTCTAATCAATTAACTTCATTAGTTGAAAAATAATCTAAAAATTCATGCACGTCTCTCGTAATATTTTAAAGAGAAAAGGACAAAATAAATCGTTTCTTATTTAATATGTAATGTAATTCTTGCATCCGATTAAAAAAATTTGTTTTATAAAATATATTCTCTAGAATTGATTGAATTTTTTTGTCAATATAAGAAAAATATCTTTTTTTTTTTAAGATATGCTACACAATATTTTTCGGAAAAGAATAGGAAGAGACTTTCACTTCTTGATAAAATGGATTGAGAATAGATTTAATCATATAGTAACATACAACACAATACACACATGTTAACAATTTAATAGAGAAATGATATCAAACTTCATTGTATATGGTGGAGTTTAAGTTTTATCACGGCTTGTATGTTCCAATGCTTCGCATTCATTAATTTGTTGCTGTTATGCATTTTTTTTCGCACCTGCAATCACACCTGCATCCGCACGAGAACAGATACTGTTAACCTAGAGATGATACCATCCACAGCCGAGGCGTTAAGCGGTTCGGAACGATCGATGGTGACACCAATAAAGGGAACGAATTGCAATGATGTCTGTTTAACATATGAATGCATTCACACAGGTCAGTAAGATATATGAAGAAACTTAAAGTTTTTCTTTTAGTAATATTGTATCGTCACATATATGACTAATAGACGATATACCTATTTTTAAAACATTATTTTAAAAAAATTACGAGATATATATTTTATTGTTTTAAACCATTAAAAATTAAAAACAAAAAATTATAAATAAAATTTGAATAAATAATTTTAATCACATATATTATAGCTACCCGAATAAATAGTTTATTATACGTTTGTAAAAGAAAAATCATACATTCAATATTGAGATATCATACTATTTTCATTTAATAGTCGGTATTTTTCTTCTCGGTAATATTTATTCATGCATGTGTGTTTAATAACCAGAAATTTTATCAACAAATAAAACGAATATTTCTCTATATAAAAGTTGCTTATGTCAACAACACGATATGCAATGATCGATTTGTTACAGAATACATATTTATTTATCGAAGATATTTCACCGAAATATAACCTGCAATATTTTATACTAGAGAAATTAATTTTATAAAGAAAATTAAGAAATTCTTATTTTGTCTAAAGATATTGAATTGTACTAATTTGTTCAACATATGTATCGCAGCCTCTAACGTAATAAAAAACATGGATCCTAATGTGGAGCCCTGTGATGATTTCTACAAATTTGCCTGCGGTGGTTTCCTCGAATCCACAGTTATCCCCGACGATAAAACTAGCGTGACTGCGTTCTCTACTATCGTTGATGATCTCGAGGAACAACTGCGACTCAGTATCGAAGAAGAAAGTCCTCCAAACGAGCTGAGACCGTTTAAACTCGCCAAAGACTTCTACAAGGCCTGCATGAACAAAAGTAAGCAGCCGCGACATGAAATTCCATATAAGTCGTCAAACTTGAAGAATGTAACAGATTTTTTTCGATAAACCTAGTGAAATCATAATAACAAAATTAAAAATCCTATTGATTTATTTAACAGATTATCTGAAGTTTTACTCTTATTATTGTATATCTCTTTCGATATAAAAGTACATAATATCTGTAATTGTGATACTTTATAACACGTAATTTATTAGAAGAATAATTGCATTGCAAACCCTTATTTTTATAAAACTAATATATAATAACAACTTTATTATTTTCTCTTTGGCGTTATAAAATATTATAACGCCAAAGAAAATATTGTAAAAAGATAATACAAATTGAAACAAAATTTTATCTTTTTTTCATTCTTAAACGTACTGTTTTTTTTTTCAGCCGCTATCGAAGCGAGAGGCTTGGCACCATTATTGAACAACCTAAAAAAACTCGGTGGATGGCCCGTTCTGGAAGGCGAGAGATGGAACGAGGGCGACTTCACTTGGAAAGATTCAGTCTACAAATTCCGGAGACTGGGCTATTCAGTTGATTACTTCATCGATTTCGGCGTCAGTGTCGACTTAAAGAACAACTCTAGGCGTTTGATCGACGTAAGCACGTAACTATCCTAAATACGGGATCCACAACAAACGCGGAACGAAAATTATAATTTATAAATATAAATAATCATATTTTAAGTAAAATAATATAAAATATAGACTTTTTCTAAATCAAATATGATATTATTTATTTTCAAGCAGTATACACAAATAAAAATTAAAAATTTTTTTGTAGCTCGATCAAGCAGCGCTCGGACTCTCGCGCGAATATTTGTCGAAAGGCTTCAACGAGAAAATCGTCCAGGCATATTACAAATACATGGTAGACATTGCTATAATTCTCGGAGCCAATCCTGACCGAGCCCGTGCAGAATTAAAAGAATCACTTGAATTCGAAATCAAGCTCGCAAATGTAAGTCCTTAGTATTAACTGACATAAAACAATTTTCAACAAAATTTGATAAAAAATATTTTCTAAAGCGTCGATCGATTGATCAAATGAATAAATATGTACACAGATCTCTCTGCCCAATGAGAAACGGCGCAACGTGACTCTTCTCTACAATCCCATGACTGTGAATGAGCTATCCTTAGCCTATCCTAATATACCGTGGTGGGAATACTTTAACACCATCCTCGCACCACAAGCAAAACTTGATCAGGATGAGATAGTCATTGTGAATGTACCCAGCTATCTAAAAGACTTCGAACAACTAATCAACACAACGACGAAAAGGGTGCAGGCAAACTATGCACTTTGGAGAGCAACTGCTGCGTCGATCAGCTATCTAACGGATGACATCCGGAAGAGACAATTGAAATATACAGTGGAGTTAAACGGCAAAACAGAGAGAGAACCGAGATGGAAAGAGTGCGTTGACATTGTTTCTGGCAGTATGGCAATTAGTGTTGGCTCGATGTATGTAAGAAAATATTTCAAGGAAGATGCGAAGCAATCCGCGCTTGAAATGGTCGATGATATCAGGCAAGAATTTACAAAGATTCTGAAGAAGGTGAGAGAATACAAAAATTTAAATTTAAGATCGTAAAGGAAATAAAAACCTGATGATAGAGAGAGAGAGAGAGAGAGAGAGAGAAACTTTTTATCTAAGATTAAAATTTCTAAAATAAAATAAAAATCTTTTTTGATATTTTTTCCTTATCTGAAATTTACAATAAATTAAAATAAAAAATAAGATTTAAAAAAATATAAGTCTCGTCATATGTGTCATTAATAAATTAGAATCTTGAAAATGAGATTTTAGTTATCTATATTTATTCTTAAAAAAATATATGTTAATGATATTAATTCTAAAAGTTCTTGTTATATATTTATTACAGGAACGTTAGTAGATTTTTATCGAAATTATACACGTTTTTAGGTGGACTGGATGGATGAGAAGACCAGAAAAAATGCTTTAGAAAAAGCAGCTGATATGACTGCACATATTGCCTATCCAAATGAATTATTGGATGACAGAAAGCTTGAAGAATTTTATCGGGAACTTGAATTGAGTGCTGACGACTATATGGGAAGCATTTTTAATTTATCTACCTTTGGAACTAATTTCTCATTTGGCAGACTGAGACAGCCAGTAAATAAGACAGAATGGATAAGTCATGGAAGGCCAGCTATCGTCAATGCATTTTACTCGTCGATTGAAAACAGTATTCGTAAGTATAAATAATCTTATAAATATCAATAAATGAATTATTAGATTATGTTTATAATTTGAGTAATTGGCGTATACTTAAAAATAAAATCCATAAAATTATATTAATTTAATTCCTTATTTATTTGTCGCTATATACTGAATTTTTTTATTTTTTATAGAATTCCCCGCGGGTATTTTGCAAGGCATATTTTTTAACAATAATCGACCACATTACATGAATTATGGTGGTATCGGCTTCGTTATTGGTCATGAGATTACTCATGGCTTTGACGATCAAGGTAGACAATTTAATAAAGAAGGTAACCTCGTTGACTGGTGGGAACCAGAGACGAAGAAACGTTATCTCAAGAGAGCTGAATGTATAATTCATCAGTATGGAAATTATTCCGTGAAAGAAGTTGAATTGAACGTAAGATTAAATCTTTACATATCTATATTTATTAAGTTTATTTTCCTTGCTATGTAAATGTTTTGTATATGTATTTCTGACGCGAAAGAATCAAATTATATCGATAAAATATGGAAAAACTTTAACCGTATTGAATGAGTAATTGTTTTGTAATTCATATTTATTTTTTAAGGGTATATTTCTCTTTAAAAAAATATTTTTTAATACTAATTAAACGAACGTGATCGCAACTATCGTTAAAATCTTGTATTGATCTATTTACTATATAAAATCGTATTATTCTTTATCAGAATAATTATACCATTTTCATCATTTGCCTAAATTTTCTTCGAAATATCATAATACGTAATATATTCCAAAAATGTTTTTGCGTTGATACCGTTGGCAGAATTTACGTAACATATCAGGATTTTAAATAAATTAGAATAAAATGATCAAAATAAATTTTTTGTCATTTTTTCATTCTAATTTAAAAGTACAATTCAAGAACTTTAAGATGGATTTCAGTTCAGGGTCGTTTAACTTATTTAGAGAAATAAAGTGTAAAACAATATTCAAAATAGCCAATAGTAATATCATTATTAGCCCATTTTATCTCAATTTATTTAAAATCTTGACATGCAAATTCTACCACCAATTACGTTTAGTGCCAAAAAATTTGAGATCTATATTATAGCACCTCACAAAAAGAAAAAAAACTTTTTATCAAGTTGTATTAATGTTCAAGTCAATGTTTATTCATTGTGTAGCAGTATCATAAGAATGTCAGAATATTCATGTGCGATAAGAATAATGATAATGATAACAGAAGTTTCGTAATGTCATACTTATATAAAATTACGAAAGTAGCAAAACGACTTTGTTAGAGAAACATGCAAAAATATATAGTATCTTTTAATGGTCTAGAATTTTCATCGTGTAGTTATACGCGAAAAAAAAAAGGTTTATTAGAGAAATTAAAACGTACAAAACGATTGGTCATCAAAAATAATTAATATAACACAAATCGCAAACATTTGATACAATTTTTAAGATATACATATATAATAATAATATCGCATTCTCCTTATATAAAAAGTTTTCTAGTTTGCGACTTTGTCATAATATATATTACGTTTCTACAGCTAAATGGGATAAACACACAAGGTGAGAACATTGCGGACAATGGTGGCATAAAGGAGGCTTATTACGCGTACAAAGAATGGGTCAAACGAAATAAGCCGGAGCAGAAATTACCGGGTCTGTCGTACAGTCCAGAACAATTGTTTTGGATAAGTGCAGCTAATTCTTGGTGCAGCAAATATCGACCGGAAGCACTGAAGCTGCGAATTACAACGGGTTTCCACAGCCCAGGCGAATTCCGCGTTCGAGGACCGTTGTCGAACATGGAGGAGTTCTCGCGCGACTTTAATTGCCCGGTCGGCTCCAGAATGAACCCCGAGAAGAAATGTACCGTGTGGTAGATCTCAGGTGTCGACAAAATACGTGTGAACGACACCGACTGACTCCGTTTTTAACCTTGGAAGTTACAATTCCCCGTGCTTGTTGCTTCGTTGAAACAATTATATTCCTAGCGGCTCGGTATTGGAGACACGTTCAAATTTCTTGCTTTTTTTAAAAGATAGGATAGTGTTTGGTCTCAGATATTAAAACCGCTTCATCATATTTATAAGATTAATTATTTATTTAAAAATAATTTATTTTTTTTTTGCAATTTTCAAGCATTTATATTGTCGCTTCTGAGGTTAATAAATGCAATGGAGTCGTCGATCTCATGCCGACAGTATATGGAGGTAGCTTGTTCCCCTCTTACAGTATCCTGCCATAGCGACATTGCCGCAGCAGAGAATATTTTATCAGTGACGCTACTCGAAAGTAAGAACTGAAATTTCGCTTTAATACAGCGTATGCAAAAGGGAAGCATTTTCCATGGAAAAATCCATGGAGATCGACTTGACCTGCCTGACCTTAGACATGTGGGACATATACTATGTATTGTCTTTGGTAAATTTTTATATAAAGTATGTCCCGCGCGGACGCATGTACGTGTAAATAGAAAGAAGATGAAATAACGTCAGGTTTGAAAATTAATTAGTTATATACAAAGTGTTTGATTGCTTAACTATTTTTAATACTAAAGCATTAGTGATTCCTATGCCAATGACAATATTTGTCAAAGGTTTTAGATTATTATGGAGAAAATTAAGTTAAATTGTCTAATATAATTTCAAGTTTAAAGATTTTTATGTATGATAAAAAATGTTGGCAGCTTTATTAAGAATTCGCTTTTTATCCTCTTTTTTTATTGTTGACAGCTTTGTTAAATCTGCTTTTTAGAATAAATTTTAAAGTATTTTACTGACACCCGGAGATGAATAGCAATGTGGTATACATTATATAGAATGATCTGTAAAATCTATAATGAGAAAGAAATATTATATGAATAGAACCGACATGAATATTTCTCAATAAAAGAGGATACAATATTTCACTTTTTCGTGACCATTTATCATTTTATTTCTACATTTTCTTATGTATTTTTTTTATTAAAACCGAAAATTATCATAATAATGATATTAAAATTAGCTCAAGAAAAAATTAATACATTGAAATAAAATTAACAAAATTCGTAATCACATCATTACAAAATTGCTGTCAGTTCTGCTTCAATCATTTAAAAACTAATGCAGAATTGTTAGTCAACTCTCTTTGAATCAGTTTTTAGATGATTGAAGCATAACTGACAGCAATTTCGTAACAATGTGAATAACGAAGCCAAAAAAATTGTATCCTCCTTTAATAGGCTAATTTTTTAATAAATATTGGAAGCTATCATTCATCACAACTATTTTATGTTGAGTATTATTTTATAGTATTATCAAGTAGCAGTTAAATAGCAAATTAAATTTCCAATAAAACAAAATCCATGTAATAATTAAACTAAGCTAAAAAAAAAGTGAAGCTTTGTTGTTTGCTTTCTTCCTTAAAATATTTGAGTCATTGGAAAGACCATAAGGCGTTATTTAATATTTAAAAAATTCGTTATTATTCGTAATTATTATCTAAATTATCAAACATGAAGGAATAATCGATCTCTAATATTCTCTATAATACATACGAACCACATTTCATATATAGTCGTATAGTATCGGCGTATCTGCGAATTCAGACAATTTAGTGCGATAATTGTTTTGTTGTACGTTCTCATGTAAGATCGTTAGTCGTTAGAAAATTACGAAGTTACTTAGAACAACTTATTACAAGTATTAAGCGTAGCTATTTAACTGCGAGCGATTGAAACTCAATGTTCGCAATTACTTTAACTCCACCATGTTATCTCTTGCATCCGTATATACATTACATTTTTATTTTGCGCCACATCCTTTCTTGCACACATTTTTCATATTTATATTACGATGGCCGTAAGGTAATCACCGAGTTAATTACTGTAAATTTAAGTAAAGATGTACCTTAAAGATATTTTTGTTGAATGTAAGAATTTAATACAAACAAAACTTCATGTAAATATGAAACTGTATTTTTATACGTTTCCCTTTTATAGTATAGGCAAATAATTTTCGGCCTGACTGCGCGAACTGGCGCTCATAAAAATTGAAAAATATCGTGGAGGAGCACTTAACGCTATCCCATATAGCACAGACTTCCAAGGAAGTATTTCGTAAGAAATTTCTGAAATATTTCAAATCTAATAACAAAATATTTTGGAAATATTTTAAATCTTTTATGCTACATAGACTTTTGAAAGAATACAAGTGGTAACCCTATCCTAGAACATCTACCTTCGAAGGCTATGCTACCCAGGATATTTCTACGGTAAAGTGTGTCGTGTGAGATCACTTACCTTATAGCGTTATAGTAACCACCTTGCAGCTCCACCACACTACCATGATGCTCTTTAAGAGGACGACGAGATAATGAGATGATTGCTCGATCATCTCGCAGACTGCGGTTCTCGAAGGTGATTTGTTGCTGATGTCCGGCTTACGACGACGCGAAATCACACTGCAATAATTGCAAAGGTATACATCCTTGTAGTCCAAACTGAATTCGGTACTCCCGACACGACGAAATACAATACTTGCGATCGAACAAGAACGAACGCGAATAGCGGCAACTTCGCGCTGATGCCCAAACCATCGTGCCGCAAAAAATTACATACGTTGAAATTTTTATCATTTATTTTTTTCATTTATTTAAAAAAAAAACAGCTTATTATCGCGCACTTATACATTGTCTCATTGTTCGTCCAACACATTTCCAATTACATTATATTCCCGTTGTACTCGTTTTAAACGAAAACGACGTGACGACAACTTCCCGCCAAAATGTCCGAGCCATTACGACGTCGAACACCAAATCAATTATCTTTGAAAATTAGCTTATCATTGGGCACTTGAGTATTTTATCGCTGTATATTACCTTATACTTGTTATTGTACGTTCGCATCGCGACTATTGCGCATTTTCAAACGATTAAAGTCGCGGTCAGTCGCGGTACGACAACTTCGCACCAATGCCCGCATTATAGTTACATGTTACGTCACAAAAAGGATTATTACACGTAGTGCTCCTATAATAAGATTTGAATCTTATCAAGACAATGTAGTCGCAATTTTTTATTGGTTACCGCAATCTATACCATATAATAGCCAATTATCGTTTTTGATGTAATCAGTTGGCGTATAAATAAACAGAAGTTAATGATAAATACTTTACGCGTGTTTTATTTTCTAACTCGTCTACATTTTCTACAGTAGTAGTCAACTTACACGTAACGAAGTCAATGTAATCAATACAAATTTGGCTGTCAGCGGTTTTATCTCAATCTTTACATAGGAACACTAATTACGCACGCATAGCAAAATTTCAAAATTATTTTCGAAAAGCAATTTACTATTATACGCATTCATACGTTATCCGTCCAACATCACACTCGACGCTTCCGGCATTCTTTTCACGTGCATTAAAAATTTTTATATTTTTATAATTATCAAAGGATGTATATTTTGATTGCAATAATCGCATTCATTTTGCAATTGTTGGAAGTATTTTTGCGCGCTGATTAAGTTATACTTTTCTAAAGGGACATTTCTATTTCAGCAAAGAAAATTTTCAACAGTTGCAAAATAAACATCCTGCTGAACGCGACTATATTGATCTAATTTCCACCGAAACCCTCATAATGGTAATCATAAATTCATCAGAGTATTGTTTCCATTGGAAATAGAAACATTTGTCAATCAAAGAGAAAATGCAGCCAAACACGTATTTTCACCGACTAAAATTTGATTCTATATACCTCATTAGCTGCTTCAGTAGAAATTAAACCATTTTCGCATTTTGTCGTTTTGAATTTTGTTGCTACATATCGAAAAGCAACTTCACTTCACATAACACCTTAGAGTCTAAATTATGCTTATTAATCGATACTTTATGTAGATACCTTGTTTGACTCTCGGGATATATACTTCTTTCACGAGCGCGACGTGATTTTTCGATACGAAAGCACTTGAAAGCACTGCGAAACACGGAGAAGCACGCAGAAGTGAGGAACTAGTTTCGAACGACGCTAAGATGGCGGCTGCGCATGCGCCCCGCAACAAGTTTTCCGCGATGCGCAACTTTACTTTGGCGCTCGATGAAAACCCGCTGAAAAATCTACAATCAAACATTACACGACGGAAACGATGTAAAAAAATTTAATTCTCAAAAGAGTATGTACGTTGTCAGTTTGGAATTGGAAAAGCAAAAGCGCGCGGTCCCGAGAAGCACTGCGTCTGTACAAGGATGTGCGCTTGCGCAGCTCGGAGGTGGATAAGGTGGATTGCGTTTGTCATCGCGACCGATTGCGCCGATGGCCGATCGCGGCGTAGTGGAGCTCGTAGCGAGACGAGCTGCTCGTCGTTCGTAATTAGGTTGTGAGAATTCGCCAAATTTATCGAAATTGACTCCAGAGAAAAACCGACGGGTACTGCCAGCATGGACAAGCCGCCGTACAAGCTGAGTAGCGTGCTGCTTGGTCACAGCGCGGACGTGAGGGCGGTAGCGACTTTCCTCGACGGCACCATCGTGTCGGTCTCGCGAGACAAAACTGCGCGTGTATGGAAACCGACTGGGTTGGTAGTGCACGTAAATTCTTCCACGTGATCGGAACACACAGTGATCCAAGTCATTCAGCCTGTTTTTGTACAATTTTCCATCCCTTTTAGCTTTTAAAACAGAAAGACACGTTTATTTGTGTGCATATGTGAGGTTAACCTTCCTTGGTCCAACATTTTTTTCATTGCTTTCGTAATCTAATCGGATTACTGGTACCTGATTATGTTTTTCAGAGTTTTCAAACTTCACAAAATCGGAAAGCATTTACTCTCAACATTTATATGATTTTACAATTATGTAATCCGAAATATTTTCACTTTTTTATCCGAAGCAGAACAATTAAGTTTGCCTTGATCTCGAAAGCTCTTGAGTCGTGGTGGATTAAGCATGCTTGCATATGAATAGGATTTTTAA